GAAAGTGCTTAATAGAGCAATCATGCTTCTTCAGTCCACAGATGATTCTAATATATTTTATTTACCATGACTAGAACAATACCATTGCATTTTCTAAATGACAATGTAAATAAACTACCATTTACACTAATGTAAAGGTTTATAAGTAACCTTGGTTTCACATTAACTATAACAGAGATACACAAAAGTAGTAAAACAGATAGTAAAGATCTCATGAGCAGAGTTTCTTCCTCACCAGTGTGACTCACCAGAGACCAAGATTTGGAAAGAAAATTTCCCTCTGAAATCCAAAGGCATTCTAATTCCAATCCCTTGAACAGACTTGAAAATTGACCTTACTATTTACATAATAGTGATTTCTTCCTATTTACCTCACAGGATGTTGAGAAATTTGCTCCTAAATTTTAAAGTACTATACATACTCATGCTATTAAAGTATTTTTTCCATTTCACACACTCCCAAAATATCCAGTTGCTAATTTAGTTATAATAATCAATCCTCTTGCTACATAAGATGACAGTATCAGCCATACAAAATAATTAGCTTATTTTGGAGTGTATAATTTATCTTGGATCTTTAAACTTCTACTTGGCATGAACACAAGGTTATTGGCCTAAATGACATTTTCACAATATCTCAGAAGTCCTTCAGTGAAGTAACAATCTCATGGAGATAGACAATGAAGCTATAGATTTTCTTAAAAGAAAAATATTCTACAATTTCAGTACATGCCTGCAATATTTAAAACTATTCAGAAGAATTTTCAAAATTTCAGTTAATATCCTCTGTGCTGAGAAAGGTAAATGTACATTACCTATTCTCTTGGAGGAAAGAATTGCTATTATTCAATCTACTTTACTATCAGTGATATAAAAGAGCAAAGTGAGTTTTTAAGTTGAAATTTTCTTGCTTACCATATCATCTTTCATATTAAAGGCCACAGACACTAAAATTGTTACATATCTTCCCTTAACATCCCTACAAGAAGAAATACAAAAGTGAGAGAAGAAAGGAATAAGTGAATTAAAATATTTGATAAAAAAATAATTTTTGGTAAAAACTAAAAGCCACAAATCCAATAATCTCCATGGTCAAAACCTAAAGAAATATGGAAAAAAAAAACCTACACCAAATCACATCATAGTGAAATTGCTAAAAGCCAATAATTTAAGGGAAAAGATTTTAAAATAACCAAAGGAAAAAGCTATATAACATACTATGGAACAAAGATAAGAGTGACATCAAACTTTTGGTTAGAAACATCAAAAGCCAGAGGACAATGGAAAAAAAAGAAATAACCAAATTTATATCCCTCACAAAAATAGCCTTCAAAAAAAAAAAAAAAAAAAATAAAAAAGGGAGCAATTAATGGCTTCTTCACATATACAAAAGCAAACATTCATTATTCATTGCCAGCAAACATCTACTGGCAGTTCAAGAAATTTTAAAAATAGTGTTTAGGGAAGAAGGAAAATGATACTAGAGGGAAGTTTTGATATATGAATGGACAGCATTGTAAATAAAATGTGTATATAAATATAAAAATTTTAGAGGTTTTTTTTGAACATCATTTTAAAACATAAAAATAGTATTTAAGTCAAAAAGCTAAAAATACTGCATAGATGATTCATAACACATGCAGGAAAAAAATCCATTAAATTAATGGTGTACGAAAGCTGACACAGAAGAAATAATAACATAACATTATAAAACTCTTAAACTTTAAAGAAAATAATGTGATAGGTAAATTGTGTTAAAATGAAGATATATAATCTAGAATAACCACTTCAAAGAGTAGAATAAGCTAAAACGTATATAAAAGTGAAAGAAGTTATTAGTTCCAAAGAAGTTAAGAAAAACGGAAGAGCTGATGGAATAAATAGGATAAATATTTAAACCCAAACTATTGATAATTACATTAAAGTGAAAGTGCCTAAACACTCCAATTGAAAGGCAAAGATCATCAGCCCTAAAAAAAAGACCAAATTACCTACTGATACAACCACTTTACTTTAAATATAAAGACAGACAAAATGTAATAAGATGGCAAAAGCTATACCAAGTTATCACTATTCAAAACAAAGTTGGACTGCCAATATTCATATCAGATGAAGTAGACTTCAGTAAAAATATTACTAGGAAAATATTTTGCTTCAAAGTAAATAAAGCAAATACTGATACAGCTGAAGAGAATGATGGACAGCTCCACAATTATAGTTGGATTTTTCTAAAACCCTCTCGATGATGACAGAACAAGTGCACAAAAAAATTAGTAAGGATATAAAAACCAATAGAGATATAAAAAAGATAATAGCACTATCACACAAATTTGCTTACCTGACATTTCTAGAAGAGTGTACACCAACATTAGCAGAATATATATTCTACTTGAGCAAGTATGGAACATTTTTTCATGACATGCCATAGTCAATAAAAAGTAACAATAAAATGAAAAGAACATACTATGCTGTCTACCATAGGATTAAATTAGAAATCAGTAATAAAAAATAGAAAATGTCCGTTGTTTTACATTTCTTAATAACCTAAAAGTCAAAGAAGAAATAACAATGAAAATCATAAAACAAATTGAATACAGTTGAAATCACAGATTTAGAGAAAAACTTTGGAAAACATTTCTCTATTAAGAACTTTAGGGAAGTGTGTAGAACAGTCTTAGAAGTCACAGTTCTCCCTTTAAGAAAAGCCCAGATTTGCTTTACTGTACAGAACAATAATCTCTGGATCAAAGGTGAGGCAGGTTTACTGGCAGTCATCAGAGATCCCAGTTCCCTGCTACCGCTCCCTGCACACGTACCACTACACATCTTCATGGCACCTTCTGGAAACAGGCACAAATGCTAGGACTCTGGCTGTGTTACTATGGTGAGTAATTAATCGTCCTTGGTCCATGGCCCAGGAAGACAGGGGATGCTCAGACATCTTGCTTTTTTCTTTAACAGCTGTTTACACAGAACACTTTAGAATATCAACTCATTTAGTCATAACAACCTTGCTGTATGTGCCACTGTGATTTCCATTTTACAGATGAGGAAACTGAGGCACAGAGAATAGAGTGTCCCATCAGCACCAAACCAGGTCCCTGGCTGTTGGATGTATACTCCATACACTGGTTTACTGCTCTACCTGCCTTTCAAAACTCTTTCATGTAAAGTGCAGTAAACCATGCAGCCATGAGCAGTTAGCAGCACAATCAAGACCAGAACAACAACAAACCCAGATTCTGAATCCCCTGTTCCTTCCACTGTAAAGTACCCATTCCTACATGGTTAAGACACCTCTACACCAATCTTGTCACCAAAGCTCCTTGCTAACAAAATCCTTCCTTTGTTCCTCAAATTTTCAAGTTGACTGTGTTTCTCATTCTCATAAATGGAAATTTTTTCCTCAGTGACACTCATTCTACAAATCACTACAACCAAAGCATGACCAGCTAAGCCACAACAAAAAAGCCCCCCCATTATGCATTCCTTACACAACGTGGGGGAGAGAATGACAAAAGAGTAACCACATGTAACGCCTGCTTTTATTTGTCCTGGAAATGTAGAAATAAAAAACAAGCTGATTGCATTCATCTGTACAACTGATTTGCAAACCAAATACTTGGTGCTCTTTAACTTTATGGTCACCTCCCTTTCAGAAGGAATTAGGAGGCCTTTTTTCACTTGGTTTTTCTTATTTGAGTTTGTCATTTCATTCTGTGTAACGAGATGTGGAGGGGGATTGTTTTCCTGGAGTGGTTAGCTATGCTCCACCACTGGTACCAACAGAACTACCCTAAAATTTTGTAAAGAATGTCAACACCTGTACTTAGCACCTGACACCTATTTGGGTTTACAAGAAGTAACAGCACCGGGCTCTCCACAGTCAGGCTCACCCCTACTTCTGCTCTAGCATGTTGAATCCCAACCTCGACTGTGCCTTGAAGTCTTTGGGAGCCTGTGGACTAGTGATGCCTCCATGCCTCTGATGGGGATATTTGATTGGTCTGTGACACCACCCTTGGCAATGAGATTTTTAAGTTTCCTAGGTAATTCTAACTGCAGATATGGTTGAAAAGACTGTTACACAAGAAAAGGGAGGTTCAGACATTGCCTTTGAAGTCCATTTGGGGGTCCTCTCTTCCAAGTCTGTGTGTGGAGACTAAGAGGACTGTTCTTCTCTGGATAGCCTGAAGAGTGAGAAGATGGGAACAAGTCCAAGAGAGCTTTTCCTACAAGAGAAGATACTATCTGTAAGCATGTTTCCCTTTCATCTATTAGCACAGGGAAAAGAGAATAAGAACGACATCATGGTAGAAAGAGTAAGTTGAGTTGTTAAGGTCCAGATAGACTTTGCAGAAATTGGCTGTTAAGTGAACATAAGTATTAGCTGTCTCTCACTACCATGTACCCAAGAAAACTGTTCATCAGGTGTCCAGGCAAAGGCAAAGGGTTGTGGCAGCAAGAAGCCATGGTTCAAAGACTGATGGTGGGAACTGGGGCACTAGAAAACATGGGGTTCTGCCCTCAGAGGATGGGGCAGTGGGGAAACTGCACCAATGCCCCAGGAGAAGGTCAAAATAGAGGCACAGAAGGCCAGGAGAGAAGCACCCACAGACGACCAGCAGGAATTAAACCCAGGGCCACATTAATACCTCAGAGATGCCCCCTGCTTCCTCCCTTTTCCATCCCAGGACATTGGAGGTTCCTGAAAGATGGGGTAGATTTTGAGCTTTGGATTAAATTGTGAGCTTGAAATTGGAACACTGAGCTGAGTGACAGCAACCAAAATGGTTCAGAAATGTACAGAATCAACCAAAGATATTGCCTTAAAGCAGAAAAGCAGTCTTCTAATCAACTAAGTCAAAGGAAAAACTAGAAAGACACAAGTCATTAAGTCTTTCACTGAGTTGAGATTCTGGAGAAATCTGTTAGCTTTGTAAGAGTTTGCTCATGTTCCCAGAAATTTATTTCTATGGAAAGCAAATGAGTATACTCACCAAAGGGCACATCGACTGGTGCTGCTTTCACACTCTCAATGTGTATTTTAGTATCCCTCACGTGGACCTTGGATGGGCACTACAGACACATGTCTTGAACTCGGTTCCTTTACAATTGTGTGTGTGCTTTGATGCCGTAGGTAGAAGTAGATTCTGATGTAGCTGCAATAAGTGAGAGATAAAACACACAAATGCAGTTACACTGGCCTTGCTGAAATCCTGTTGCTCTTTTACCCTTCATCCCCTCATAAAGAGTGTGAGAAGGACACTGCTAGCCCTGCTGAGGATGAGTGTTCCTCACATGAGGGTGGAACATGGATATCCAAGAGATATTCATAGAAATCGATGCTAATAAAACAGGTGAGTGAGGGCACATCACAATGTTTTTACAAGCCCGCCTTTCTGTTGGATGCCACTGTATTTTTTTTTAATCACACCTTGTAAATACACAAAACAGGACTTCCAGAACTGCCCCAGAAAGTGGCAAGAACAATGAGATTAGTGTGTTCCAAATGAAGGCGAGTATTTTGAGTGGTATTAAAGGCAATGTATTGTTTACTCTAATTTAAATACTCATTGTATAGTTTGATCACCCCTTGTAAACAGAAAGGGGTTCTGACAGAGAAATTAGTAACAAATACAGATGCAAAACTATCGTCTTTTTATTTTAGAAGGTTGGAAAAACAGAGCAAGAATAATCCAAAGAGCTTAGTGATCAGTCCATGGATCAAGCAGCACAAAGGCAAAAGTAGTCATCTAAGCATTGCAAAATGATACGATTTGGATCTAGCTGTCTCCTGAGAGCTTCATGTGCTCCTAGGTGGGCCTTTCAGAAGGTGATGAGATTATAAGGGTTTGTGGCTGACTTGCTATCAGAAGGTGGGGTCTGGTAGGAGGAGGCAGGTCGCTCTGGGTACTGTCTGGAATGGTTTTTCTACCTCCTAGATGCCTCCCTTCTCTCTCTGCCTCCCCTTTCCCAGGCCAAGGGCAGCTTTCCTCACCAGTTGTCCTCTGCTGTGCCCCTGTGCCATGCCAACCTTCCTTGGAGCCAGCAAACTATAAACTGAAACTTCTATGAACTGTGAACCAAAACAAACCTCTCCCTCTTTAACCTGTGGGTGTAAAAGGGTTGTGGACTCGTGACAAGAAAGTGACTAAGACACAGGGAAACTGAAAGCTTTACTGTAGGAGAAAAGAGAATTATGCTTTTCCTTTGAGTAGAAATAGGAATAGCTGGACTAAGACCTGAAGTCTCACAAATGATGGGATGTCATACACCTTCACGCAGGATTTTTAAAAAGGTAAATTCTTAAATGCTCAGTTTGTATCAGTTATTGCTTACAACTCCATCCTGTGTCCTTAGGAGTGTGAATTTCTTTTACTACTCTAACTTAAGTATCTGAGGATTAAAGCTCATTAATATTGTATCTATGTCATTTTCTTCAGTATACTGTAAAAATACTGTATCAAAAAAGCAAATTCAAGGGCATATTGCTTTCTGCCTGAAGAAGAGCTATTCTCTGGCACTGCCATAACCCGATCTCCAAATCAATGACGTTTAACTGTGGACGTACCTCTGAACCACCTGGGACTTTAAAACCAAAGTGGAGAGGGAAAAGGGTTGATGGAAAGGGAAGGGTAAGGGAAAAATTATATACAGGAGCAAATTCCTTATGATGAATGTGATCAATATGCATGGCAAACGTACAAATAAACAAACAAAAAAACCAATACATGCTTGGTTCCCAATTCAAACTGAGTTCTAGGGTGGATACAGTCCAAAAATGTGTACCATAATATGGAAGGTCCCCAGAGACACTAAATGTCTCTTCCATTATAAACATCACCATTTACCTGGTGACAATGACAAAAATTGTAGGTGCTACCTGCTGTGCAAAAGTTAATGCAAGCACTTCTTACCTTATGATGAAGCTAAGAGCCGTCTACTGTTGAACTTAGCAATCTCTGCCAACCCATCCTGAGCAGTTCTGACTTACACTAGTTTAAATAAAACAGTACTTATATACCAAGCCTTTCCAAAACTAGTAAGATTTACCCAATTACAAGGGAAACTTCCGGCTGACGTTGTTAGAGAAGAATTTGTGGAGGAACCCTGAGCTTGATCCTAGGGCATAATGGTAATGAAGTGGATGGGCAAAACGTGGAAAACATTCAAGCTCAATTTTTGGTTCAAGAAATAGTCCCTGGAGGTCTGCCATGTGACCATGCTGGGGAAATCGACATGGTAGAAGACAAAGGTGGACACCAAGCTCTGACCCTGAAAGGTTCATGCAGACTCACGCCTGAGTGCAGGTATTCATCAGGCACACAAATGCTGTTGGAAGAATACAGCAGGCTTCCTGGTAGTCGGAGGAATATGGCAGTGGCTTTTTGAAATAGGCCTTACAGTACATAAAGGAATCCAGCAGCAGGGATTGAGGGAAATGACTTTATAAGGCAAGGAACTGTTCAGTAAATAACCTAATTTGACAGAACATAAAAATGAAAAGGTTTAATTAGATATCTTAAAAGGCTTAAATCGTATTCTAGAGAATTCTGAATGTTAGTTTGACACATTTTCTATTTAATTTAATAGTCACCAAGGAGTTATCAAAATTTATGCTCTATGCAATTACATAATCAGAGTTGTAATTTAGAAGGAAAAATCTGGCAGCATCTTGTAGGCTAATTGGGAACAAGGAAGTGGGGGCAGGAAAACCACCAGGCTCAGGCCAGAGTGCAAGGCAGAAGTGACAGGTAAGCTCACCCCCATCCTCAGGACTGTCCCCTGCATCCTCGGGGCTTTATCTGTTATCATCACTGAGGGGAAATGTCATGAGACTCCTCCTACTTTGGCTGTAAAACAAACCCTTTCAAAAGTGTAATGAGATAAACAGGATTACCACCCTACAGCTTCCTGTGGAAATTAAATCATTAATGTGCTTAATTTGCCCCAAATTATATTATACACATTTCTACTTTAAATGTGTATTAGATGTATTATTCATGTATTTGTACATGAATTTACATATAGAGTGTGTATCTCTGAAAAGGAATATACTCCAGCTTGTGTTGCTTCTGGCCCGTGGGTGAGCGAGGCCTCACAGGCAACATAGCTACGTGCTTTCATCACCTCCTCTCTGGAGCTGCTCCTCCAGCAGCAAACAAAACACTGGAAAACCTGAGTCACTCACTTGCCTTCAGTTCTACGCCTGAAACACACAATTCAAACTCAGAACCCTATGAGTATTCAGTTACATCACAAAATTTGCATTTATGAAAGCATGAAGATCCTGGGGAATATTTGGAATATAAGACCCAGGTTAATTTATAACTTCAGGACCACTCAGCCCAGGCACAATTCAATATCAAACCTGTTATCATCACTGAGGAAGAAAAAGATTGACTACCCGAATTATTGAACTATTGCTCCATCATTCAAAGTATTGCATAAGTTTATTATCCCTTTACACACAGAAAATCTCCATCTTATTCCCTTATTAGATAGGAAGATGAAAGCAGGGAAAGCCCACCATCTCAAAGGTAGCTAAGATGGAATCCATGCACCAGTTTCTAGTGAACTACTCCACGAGTGCAACTTTGTTGGCCCCTCACTTACTGCAGTTGGATCTTGTCTGTGCCAGATTCATGTCTTCACTGTACGATCAGATGCCCTTCACATGCAACCTAATGTCCTCTAAGGTCCAAAGGAACTTGTCACACATTGTAAAGATATTGCAAAGATTTGGTGGATGTTACAGTGCTTGTCTTGATTACTTTTCTGTCATTGCTGAGACAAAATACCTGACTCCAAAAATTAAGGAAGGAAAGGTTTGCTTCGCTCACAGTTTGTGGAGATTTCAGTCCATACTCAGCTGGCTCCAAGGCAGAGTGGCACATGGCAGAGGGCAACAGTTCATGGTAGCGGAAGACAGCAAAAAGCAGCAAGAGCAAAAGGGAGGAGTGGCAGAAAGAAGCCTCTTTCTCTCCCTTACATATGCAAACCATCTGCCCCAGGTCGGGTGTAGCACTCACACCCACAAATCAATTACAAACTCTAAAAGCCCGCCCCATGACTGCATGTCTCTTTGGGGAGACACCCAAACACAAACCATAACAATGCTCTTATAAAATAACTTGATGTAAGTTAATTACTAACTAGTGAACAATATGTGAATCCTAACACATTCAAACTCACTAGTTTAGAAAAATAAATCAAGTCTGCTTATCAGAAGACACTCTTCCAACTCCCAGATACCCAAGGAATAAACTCTGACAGTTTGAATCCAATACTGCTACAGTTGTCTGTCCATGCATTACTTTAAAGAAAGTATTTTCATAAGGGCTAACTGACCAGTCCCTTAAGACCAACTGAGTTTGGACAACGCACTCTACTGTTCCGTCGCTGCTGCACAGAAGTCCAGAGAATGGCAAAATTGTCTGCAAAGACACACTGGAATCGCCTGGGCAATGCATTTCCACGGTGAATTTGGCCATTTATCTGCTTTGTCGACTGTATGGTTTCAGCAGCTTGAAGCAGAAAAAGGAACTGAATTGGTTTTTAGTTTTTCTGAAAGCCCTGACTCTCCCCAAGAAAGAGCCTGCAGGCTGAGCTCGTAGGAGTCCAAAATTTAAATCAGATGTAGTCCAGATGTCTTCGATGATTGGGATCCATTCTCACTGACAGTGTGAAGAACTCTGCAGCTTCCTAAGACAAACCCTTTTCACCTCCAAAGTGGATTAGAGTGTTTGATGCTTAAATATTCTTTAAATTATGTCCTCCATCATTTAGTGGTTTGAAAGTCTGGAAACTCACAGATAATAGCTGTTTTTTAGCTTTGAAATGAAGCCCAAAGTGTACAGATTCACTCAAGTAGGGAATAGTACCATAGAAGTTTCTGTAAAAAGAATTACTGAGAAACTTTTTAAAAGATTTTTCGGAAACAGATTGCCAGCAATGTTGGAGGAGGATAGTTTGAAATTAGGAAAAACATCTAGATTAGGACTAGATTTCAAGTGGCACAGATTCAACTCTAATTGAAGCCGAAGAAGCTACTAGGTTTGTTGAACTAGATTCAACACTGAAAAAAACTGCAAGAAGCAACTCACCAAGGGCCCCTTACCTCCTGATTCCACTTCCATTCATCTCTCCTCACTGCTTGTCTGTGCTTCTCATCTGACAGCTTCTTTTTCTGCAAGTTTCCTTTTCTGCAGGAAGGAAAAGTAGCTGCCAGCGGCCTCAGCCTCAGCTTTGCCCCAACTCCACATGCACACAGAGAAATGCTCTTTTGCTTTGCACATAGCATCTGTTCAGCTTTATGGACATACCGACCTTGGAGAACCATGGCTCTAGAGTGTTTAGCACTGAGAACCAGCACAAGTAAATGTGACAAATATGAAGAAATTCCAACTTTCTATGAAAAGATGAAAGACGTACCTGAAGAACGTAGAAGTATCTGAATTCACAAGGTGATTATTTGAAAATAGGATGTGTTGTGAGTGGGACCCGAGTCTGGGGATGAGGCAAGGAAAGGTCATCACATAAGGGCAGACTTAAGAGTATTATTTATTAAATTTGAATTCTGTGCATCAGAATGACAGGGAGAGAAGAAGAAAAAGAAATATGAATATAGCTGTTGCACTGAATTTTGAAGTGACTCAATATTTAGTAAGCAGGAATAGTACAAGCTATTATTTAAGAAGAAAAAGAAAGATCCAGTAAATCAGGGCAGGAGGCAGATAAACTATAAGTGATATAACAATAAAAAGTATAATGATAAAAATAAATGTCAAGAAAAAATATGATGTGAAGTTATCTATATATGTTCTAATGAGTACTTTTTAAAGTGGTATTATATAAACAAGAAGTGAAATATATAATGAATAGAATTTTAGGGTAGATGGAAAATTACCTATATATGTTTTAATGAGCATTATTTTAAAGTGGTGTTACATAAACAAGAAGGAATATTTAATAAATAGCATTTTGGAGTGGATGCTTATTTTACTTAAAAGTGACCTTGGTGCCTATGTATAGTTTGCTGAATTATGCTGGCTAAAAGGTAAGGTGAAATTGTATGTGCTGAATGGGATGGGTGGGCTCTGATTCAGATTTTCTGCTCTACCTTACAGATCTTGGTAGCATCCTGCAGGACCACAAAACTGACCATACTGCTGTGTAAACATATCTACTACAAGTATGTTCTCACTCAGTTTGTCAGATGTCACATTAGATCAGTGAGCCTGACTAATGTGCATATATTTCAGAAGCTTGCCAACATTTCTGGGGAAGAGTACATTCCTGTTTTTGAAACACATTGGTCTAATTTTAGGAGATACGTCTCATTTCATTTGAAACTTCAAGGTCACTTTTATGAAGTTCATGGTGTGGTCACTTTACATAATAAAATTTGGATTAGGAAAAATATGTAGGAGAGACACATGGAAAGGACAAAATGTAAAGGTTCAGCTAGGAAATCCGCTACACATTAATCACAAGGGTCACATAATAAGATGTTATTGGGAACGCTATTGCATTAGAAAAAATAAGCAAATGTGCGGAATGTGGACACTAAAGAATATATCAAATACAAAAGGCCAGTCCTTTTAAACAACAAATAACTGTTGAAGCATTTCTTTCTTCACCACCCAAGGGTAAAATAAATAGAAATGGAAGAAATAGAAAGGAACTTTCTCAAATAGTTTGGTAGTCTGAAGTACAACTGGATTTAATTCAACATTTTTAAGAAAAGAAAGGGCAGGCTTAGAGTTAATCCAACTTGACTATTCACATTGACTTAGCTTTCATACATTCATTTATTCATCAACAAACCTCTGCCAAGTGGCAACTGTTCAGCAAGAAGGCACCAAGCTAGGCCCTGGGGAGACGAACTTCCACTCCACTCCCAGACTTCTGCCTTTTGGCTTTTCCCCTTCCTCTCATGTTGACAGACTAACTTTTCGCAGGGTGAAAGTGTGTTCCTTCCACACTATTCAATTGTTAGAGGACCAGGGTAATCTAAAGAAATAAAACTCCACTGTCTAATGCATCAGTTGGAGCCAAGTCTCATTTCTTAGTAAATCAAAGAATAAGTCTCAAGAGATGATTCTGGAGAAGACACGTAAGGTCTTCTTTAAGAGGGAGTTAGGGAGCCCAGGACCTCTTGTGGAAATGCTTCCTGTTTGCAGTTCAAGCAAGGGAGAAAAGATAATGCAAGAAATGATACCCTAGTAAAAGGAATATTAAAGAAATACAAAACTCATATGTGTTTGCCTCTGTTTCCTAGCTAGCTTAACACTGTCAAAACTACTAACCCCAACAGTAGTCCTAGGGTATCAGTGAGCCATTGTGAGCACCTCTTGTCTACTATTCTCTAGTATTTATGTGATGTCTTCTAGGATATAGGGCACACCCAAGTCAGGATTCTTCTTTCTATACAGTGGAAGTAAGACATCTATGTATCTGACAATTGCCAATTCATGACCAGTATGACAGTGGAGTTTCCATAAGTTGATAGCATCCTGGAGCTTTCAGAAGGAAGTTGGTCTCATTCTGGCAAATTGAGAGCATAAAGAGAACTTCCCTCAGTGTCCAAATCTGCCCTCTGTCATGCCTGTGACTTTAATGTTATATGGACATAATCAGAACAGTATGAATGAAACATGAAATAAAGTAAGGAGAGAAGGCCATACCCTAATATAAAGCCTTGGGTGGCCGGTCAGTGATACTTCGGATAGAAAAAATCCTGTGGTATATCTATGCCAAGGATAGACACAAAATAAAAGGACAAATATCGAATTTCATGCAAAAAGTACACATAACTTACCCAACCCTTAACCAGGAACTGACAACCCAAATTATAACAGAGCTACAAATAAAATCGTACTATCATCCTGAAGAATGCATAATGAGAGCCAAGTTTTGAAATAACAGTTACAGTTGACCTCAAATGGACTCATTTAGAATGCCAGGGAAAGGTCTGATTACTTCTGTTTGGGATGTCTTGACGTCTGGCCCCACTATGAAGTCAAAATGACTCAGCTGTTTCTCCCAGGAGGCCATCACACCGGGGGGAGAGAAATGCCAGATGCAGTGCTCAGGAGACAAGATCACATAGTTGGAAGGGCAACAGAGTTTGATCTATTACAGTCGTCTACTTAATATGCTAATTATCTCCACAACATGCTAGAAAAATGGTCTGAAAACTTTGGTCAGTTATTTCACATCGCTAATGTGACAGTGGGTACCTAAAATGCTATGCATCCCCCTTGTCTTTCTCACACTAATGGTAAATAACAATCTTTTGTATAGATCTGTAGAAGATTCTGTGCCCTTACATTCCCAGGATGTTGGTGCTTTCCTATTCTGCCTTTTGCCAGATTATGTGAACCAGCAGAGCTTTTGTTTGCTCAGCCTATCTAATCTACCACGGAAAGACAATGCACAGGAAGAAAATCACAATTGTCAGATTAATAGTCATTTTCCAGCTGAAAAGTAACTAAAAAATCTATCAGCCTTAGGTTAGGACCAATAGGTATATTGATTTGAATATGTATTATTCTTCACCTCTGCCTCCACAGAGAAGTCATAAAATGTACACAATTGTAGAACTGAAAGATTCATACGAGACCATCTGGAAGATTGCTCTTTTTAAAACCCTGGGGTAAAAATATTTTATGAGGAAGAAATGGAAAGAAAAGGTGATTATGTCAGACAAATCTGGATTTACTTACAGAAATATATGTACTATAGTTAAAGATCTATATGTAAACATCAGTCACCACCAATTGAAGGATGTAACAAAGGGTAATAGAGCTGGGACAAGTAGTATTCCAAGTAGTCCACAAGTAGTTAATCCTCAAAATAACTCCAGAAGGTAGGTTCCAAGAGTATCTTATTTTACGGATCTAAAAAAACAAACAAACAGTGATAGTCAGGTGTAGTGGAATACACCTCTAATACCAGCACTCCAGGATGCTGAGGCAAAAGGATCAAAAGTCAAGCCATCCTGAGAGACTTGCCAAGACCCTGTCTGAAAATTAAAAAGTGAGGGTAGGGGCAAGTGGATATTGCTCAGTACAGAGGCCCTGGGTTCAATCCTCAGGTATTATCAAAAAAGAAAAAGAAGAAGAAGAAGAAGAAGAAGAAGAAGAAGAAGAAGAAGAAGAAGAAGAAGAAGAAGAAGAAGAAGAAGAAGAAGAAGAAGAAGAAAAACCGGTGTAAAGAACTTTTACCCCAAAATCTGTGCTCTTCACCTCTTTTACTTGAGCATTCATCAATACTGTGATCCTGCACTGAATTTAAGTCTGAGGTCCTCACATCAAATGCAAAACAAAGGCAGTAACTACTATGGCATCTTAATTATCCAACAAATTAGACTATTACTTCAAAAGCAAAGCTCTAACTGCAAAAAGTTCAGAAAGAATACGTCATGTGGGGACTTAGATGAGAAATAATGGACACTTTATCAGGAATACAGCTTTCCACATTTTTCACACCCACTTCCTGTGCAAGACTTCAATCCAAGCTGAGGAAACAACACTGACCTGGAACCCAGTGGGATATTCCACAGGGAAGACACCATGAGCTGAAGAACAAAGGGGTCCCTGCTGCCTTGAAAAGGAATGGTCCCTGCCTCATCCAGGGTAGTTTAATTCAGAAAGCAAGCCCAAAAGAGATCCGAGATCATGCAACTGAATAAACCAGTCCTTGTGCTGTTTCCTGTTTAGGAGACAACATGAGAAAAAATCCTACATTAAAACAGCCTCCTGAGGTAGCAACATACTAATTAGACTGAGAAAATCTTCCCTGGACCTGGGTCCAATAGCACTTATGGTTAATTCCATCTTCCTTTCTTCCTTGCCCTGTTGGAAGGCACAAATTCCCCCTCCCTGTTCACCTTCCTCTAATTCTACTTGTGTCGCTGTGATTCAGATAATCACTTGTTCACAAATATTTACAGAGTCTCTGCTTCTTAGGGTCGTGAACACTAGTGGAAGTCAACTTTCAATAACTATCTGCATCTGCTCAGAACTTTTCCTCTTCCAGTTACCGGAGACAAGGTTCCACCAAAGCCCAACCTCCCCATTTGAATTCTAAATTCCCCTTTTGTCTCTCAGAAACCTGTTTCGCCCACTAACCCATCTCTATCATTATCTTCAAGAGCTTGTCTGTACGCCGATACCTACAGTGAATGAACATTACATTA